ATACAATGTAGGGTTTACTACACGAAAGAGACCTACAATATTATGTTATATTTTAGATGGTTGTTGCTCTTTTGTCAAAACAAGTTTCAAATTTGACAAATTCACAATCAATAATCACATTGTGCACGTACATTTGGTTGAGTCTAAAACCAATGGAACGAGAAATTATGAAGCAAGAACTAAAAGTCTATATTATAGATTAGATCGTAACGGAAAAGTTTGAAAAAAGTGATATTAAGTGATTATATATTATGTGTTTCTGGATATTCTTTGCACCAATAAAAGTTATGTTGTCTTCCTCAACTAAAGCACGTTCTCACCACACCATCTTCTTTGGTGGTGCAAAAAGATCAACAACAAGTTAAGCAGAAAACATGACCGACAAAAGTAGGTTTCATTTCTTCTCCCAAGATCTCCACACTTGGATTCTTTTCGTATTCCAAACACCTAAGTTATGTCTACCCTGTTTTCATAATCTTGTCGGTTTAATATTAAATATTAATATCTAGATTAAGACCATCTTCCATAGAAGTACTTAAAAAATTGATCAATACTAGAATCCGACATATGAGTTTGCTTTGGTTATATCAATGCTGCTTATACAAGTAATGTTTGTTTGTTATAAACAATAATAGAACCAAAACTAATCACTAAAAATAAAATCTCATATATGAAACTGAGATATTATAACTCATATATATATATATATATATATATATATATATATATATATATATATATATATATATATATATAAACACGAAAAAAAGAAAATGAATATAAAGATAAAAAATTCAATTAAGCAATCATTTTAACAACTTTGTTATTGGTGAAAATTTTGTTCAATTTTTTTATGTGATATTATGAGATCCACAAAAATAAAACCAAGCAATCTATTTAAGAAATCATGCACTGCAGATATTCTAAAAATTTAAACTTTAGATTGTCACATTAAAATTAATTCCTTTTACTAAATTCAATATGTGATGATATAAAATCCGTTTATATATATATATATATATATATATATATATATATATATTTTCAAATTACTTATAAATTAATTCATATATGAAATAAAAATTTTAGACAAAATTAATGAGAGAACCTTTATAAAATCAACATATCTCTGTAAGTTAATTAGATTAAGAAAAAAATATTTTATTTTTACATAATGCTTATTTTCTAAATATTTTTAAAAAAAGTGTATTCAAAATATATTATGTTTGAAAACCTTTTGCTTAAATATTTAAGTTTTTAATACAAAAAATTATATAACAAAACTTAGGGTAAGATTGTCTTAACATTTAATAGAAATTATTGTAGTTGGTCTCTGTCATTTATGTTCCACACGCTATCTAGCTGTATTCATTGTCCATCTCCTTCACTAGATATTGCCTTTCCATATAGTCAAGAAAAACTTTAAGTTAAAAAGAATTCAATAAATATGATTTTTTTTTAATAATAAGATCAAGTATAGTTATTATATCTATTTGTATATAAAAATTATTGCAAGGAAATTCGTTTACCGAAAAATATCATACTATATTTATGAGACCAAACGAAAGTCATAATAGTGTGAGTATAATAAACTTTTTATATAATGAACTAAGAAACATTTGTGGTAAGAACACAAAATTGTCTCTATCATTTTTTTTTAATGCCATGGTTGAAAGATTCAAAAATAGTTATAGATTTTCAATGTTGTCCACATAAAAAATTCATAGGTTTCTTGTTATTATCAATAAAAACTTATACTATTTAATAGCCAAAATTTATTAGATATATTATTTAAATTGCTTATTACAAAAAATAACAACTTTATGATGATGACAATTCTTAGTTGGATAACATGTATTTTTTTGTATGGTCAATATATTAAATCTAAATGTTATAAAGTAAAATAAAAAATTCAAGCTAAAAATGAATGATAGTTTTTTATAAGTTTACAGATTTTTAATTCATATAAATGATGCCAGTTAAAGAGAAATAAATACAGGTTTAATTTACTTAATTAATTTCTGAACTATATATTTAAAACTTTGAAATAAGTTTTTAAATTAAGAAGTAATTAAGTGCTGGCCATATAATTATTTTATTCAAATTTTAGTAATTTTAAACCATAATGGTACAATGATTTCAAACATCCATAAATTAATTTAAAAATCTACTTATTTATTTTTTTATGAATAGTTTTGTCTATTTTTTTAGTTTTTATTAATTTTTTTAAATGATATAATTCAGTCTAAAAAAATTCAATAAAAACTAAAATAAAATTAATTAGGTGACTCGCTCAACTCAATCTAATATTTATAATAAAATTAAAGTAATTTTTATTTGATTGGATTTCATATTTTAAATAAAAATTATAAAATTTACTTAAATGTTTTTATGTATGGATAATTGAATAATTTAATCTTAAATGAAAAGTTCTAAACACGTGTCCCTGTCACCTCAAACACGATTTTCCCAATGTTTGTATTAATGCATTTGTCTTTTTCCTCATAACATCAACCATAACAAGAAATTGATGATAATAAAACAAACATGAAGAGATCCCAAATCCCCGGCAACCTATGTGTATGTCAAGTTTGTATTTAGAAAACAACCGTTTGACTCTTTTTTTTTTTTTTTTTTTTTAAATTATATTTGATACTTTATTATATTATATTATTTTATATTCAAATACTTACAAAGCAACAATGATTTCAAAAAAATAAACAATTTGACATTTTGTTATATAATTTATTTATTTATGAAATTAGTTTTACACCAACTGTAAACATGAATTGGAATATGAACTGCGTGAGCAACATATATATTTTTTAAAATTATAATTTCCTTTTCATTATTGTTATATTTTATTGAAAATTACAAAAATCACATAATATATATATGACATTTTAAATATTAAAATGTCATTCATTTTCTTATACAGATTAATTATAGGATGAATTTAGTTTAATATTTTCTTTAATAAAATTACCCATAACATTATGACGAAGTGCAATTTTTTTTTCAAAGAATGACTTATGAAACTCGTTATCACGGAGAAAATGATGTGTGTTTTGTTTTGTGGCGTTGAAATGTATAACTTGTGCAAATAATGGACAGACAACGACCCAAAAAGAAGGCGTGGAAAATTTAAAAAACGAGTCTTCAAACCATTAATGTTCCATCTTCTTTTCTATGCAAAAAATAAAATAAAATAAAATATGTTTTGCTGTTTTCCCCTTCTGGCTTTAACCCGAGTGACATATTAAGGAAAATAAAATTATAATTTGAAGAAAGTTTATTAAAATATAATATTTTAATATTTTTATTCTCTAAAAATCACCTCGCATTTTATTATATTGAAAAATAATTTATTACTTGATTTATAATATTATATAATAATTTCAACATTATGTAATCATAAAATTTTATTAACTAGAAAAAGGCAAACATATAACAAAGATGGTGAATATATATATATAGAGAGAGAATATTTAAGAACATTGCTAACAGTATTATCGATAATATGTATGTATCCATTCCCGATACTGTACATTTCGTAATTTAATATTATTTATTGTTTAACTATGTTAATATATTATACTTTTAAAAAATGTTTTATTTAGTAAAATGTTGATGTAACGAAATGAAATTGTTTGTTAATATTTTTAATTTCTAGATAGTTAATTTAATTATTACAATTTTGAAATGGTAAGAATACTATTTTGTAATATCAACACAAATATACACTTATTTCTTTTAAACTAAAATAACTATAAAACTAACTATTTTAACCTCAAAAAAATGTAAACATTTTTAATATAGCATGATATTTTTATAGATAATCTTGCTTCTCAAACATTGTAATTTTTATTTTTATTTGATATTTTTATAAAAAATTTATTTTACTGGCTTAATATTTAATGTATATTATATTCTTTATTTTTTTATCTAAGAATATACTTTAAGTTAATTTTATTCATAAATAATGTATTTAACATATATCATAATTAACTTCTTTTTAATTTGTTGCATGTTAAGTATAAAAATATATATTCATACCTTCATAATATATATTTATCTTTTTTTTTCAGGAGAAAAGTAATATGAGATAGATCAAATTGATAGAAATAAATACTTAAATTTATATCAAACATCTTATACAAGGAGTAATAGAAAATAAGTCTAGAATTAATTAAAATAAAATAAAATATTTTTTTAATTAAAAATTACAATATTGAATTGTTACGCAAGGAGAAATTGTTGGAATTAATTGAAACAATTTGGATTATTTCTTTAAATGGAGTTGATTCAACACGAATTTATATTTAATTCTTAATTTTCATAACCTTTAATTTAACTCAATTAGATTTTCACAACAAATAATTTGATTAATTCAAAATTTTCATTTGTGTGGACTTTAAAAACAAATTTGAACTTACACAAGTAGTAAAACATGGGTTCACATTATGTTTGCTATAAATTTGAATATTTATTTTCATCCATTTAAATTATTTTACATTACTTTTCTCTTACAAATAAAAAGATAAATATATATTATGTATGTACAAAATATACAAAAATATAATAAATCTATATTTTGATCTTAAAACTATACAAAATATAATAAATTAAAAAGAATTGAATTATAAAAACATGTTAAATAAATAAAAAGAAAAATAACATACATCAACTATTAATTAGGAACAAAGACAAAAATTAAACTCTCCGTAAAGCAAGTTCTCAACCAAAGCTTAAAAAGATCAAATCATGTAATCAATTGGGAGAAACAATTTGTATGTCAAAATTAACCTTCCCCACATGCACATGCACATGCAATCTTCTCCAGATCTTTCTCATCACTTTACACGTTTTCCTCTGAAGTACGAAATGCAGGGACATTGCATTGATTAAAAGGAAATGTGTCACTATAAATAGATGTTTCTCATCCATAGGGTCTCACATGTCCAACAGGTTCAACACTAAGTAGCACAAATAATCGAGATATGGGTCTCCATCGTGTTGAAGTAACACTTTTGTGTTGTGTGTTGGTCGTGCTTGGAGTCTTACCATTCTCTTCTGATGCACAACTAGACCCTTCCTTCTATAATGCCACATGTCCCTCTGTGCATTCTATTGTACGTGAAGTCGTTAGAAATGTTTCTAAATCAGACCCCCGAATGCTTGCTAGTCTCATAAGGCTCCACTTTCATGACTGCTTCGTTCAAGTATGTTTCATGTTTGTTCACAATTTTCCAATTTCATTGACCAATCTCTTTTACATTGAGTAGTTTTCACTTTAAGTTAATGAATTCTTTCTTACTTGATTTCCAAAGTACATACAACTCATTCACAATGAAATTACTAGAAATATTTCTTAACTAAGATCTCAAAGTCAAATTTTATAGATTAAAAGCAACATGGTATTATTTAGTCTGAACAAGTAACAAGTTGATTATGGTGTTTCTCATGCACGCAGGGGTGTGACGCATCAATTTTGTTGAACAACACTGCCACGATACTGAGCGAGCAAGAAGCTTTGCCAAATAACAACTCAATAAGAGGTTTGGATGTTGTGAACCAGATCAAGACTGCAGTGGAAAATGCTTGTCCTGGAGTGGTTTCTTGTGCTGATATTCTTACCCTTGCAGCTGAAATATCTTCTGTTCTGGTATATATACCCCTTTTATTTATTTTGTAGAGTTCTTGTAAGATGTTGAATGCCATTACATTTCTCTTTCATTTGCAATGAAAGTCCACTCGCAGCCAACTTTGAAAATTAATAGTACCGTGTGTTACAAGGTGTTAAACCAAAGTCTAAGTTGATAAGTATATGAATTTTGCTTTTACTTTATTTATCCCTTCTAAAAATTTACAACCTTCCCCAGGCTCATGGTCCTGACTGGAAAGTTCCATTGGGAAGAAGGGATAGTTTAACAGCAAACAGAACACTTGCTAATCAAAATCTTCCAGCTCCATTCTTCAACCTCACTCTACTTAAAGCTGCCTTTGCTGCTCAAGGCCTCAACACTACTGATTTAGTTGCACTCTCAGGTAGGTATATATATATATATATATATATATATATATATATATATATATATATATATATATATATATGAACATTTTCACACTTCAGGAAATTCATATCTGTAGTTAAAAAAATGATAGCACATTTTTTACCCTTTATTTTTCAGGTGCTCATACATTTGGCAGAGCTCACTGCAGCGCCTTTGTTGACCGATTATACAATTTCAGCAACACTGGCAACCCTGATCCAACACTTAACACAACTTATTTACAAACACTTAGAGCAATATGCCCCAATGGTGGACCTGGCACTAACCTCACCAACTTTGACCCAACCACACCGGACACATTTGACAAAAACTACTACTCCAATCTTCAGGTTCACAACGGTTTGCTTCAGAGTGATCAAGAGCTGTTTTCCACCACTGGTGCTGATACCATTGACATTGTCAATAGGTTCAGTAACAACCAAACTCTTTTCTTTGAGAATTTCAAGGCTGCAATGATAAAAATGGGCAACATTGGAGTGCTAACGGGATCACAAGGAGAAATTAGAAAACAATGTAATTTTGTTAATGGGAACTCTGCTGGGTTGGCTACTATGCCCACCAAAGAATCATCAGAAGATGGCTTAGTTAGCTCAATCTAAATAAATTAAAAAAAAAAAAAAAACTATCGTGTGAAAATGCAGAGATATTAAAAGGTTACATAATAAAGAGTTCAATAGCCATATACATGGCTTGTTCCTGTGATGTCTGCTGGATCACGTTTTCCATGTTTGTGTACTTTTGTGTATTTGTAAGATGTGGTTTCCTATGTTATGACAATTCTACAATCAAGTCATGTTGATAAATTGTTGGTGGTATTGTGCAGATGTATAATACTCAACTTAACAAACATACCCTCTTCTTTTTTAAATTGTACGAAAAAAAATTAAAACAAGAACAAAAAATTACTATTGAATTGATATTTTTTTCTTTTTTTTCAGTATATTTAAAGATAATTTAAAAATCAAAAATTAATTTTTAAAAATTACAATAATAATAAGTGAAAAAATTCGCATAAATACTATTAAATATTTTTAAAGGATCTTCGATAAATATTTAATTTTCACAAAATATTAATAATAATGTATTATTTATGCGAGGTTTCATATTCGATACCGTCGAAAAATTCGTGTCACTAATGTATTTGGATCAATTGTTAAAATTACTATTTTAGCAACGTGTTCCAACCTATATATGAGAATGATTTCACCTTATTATAAAATTTATTAAAAATGTATTATTAGAAATAAAATATTTAAGTAATTATTAGTTATAAAATTTGATGCATTTTTTTTATTCTAACTAATATATATATATATATATATATATATATATATATATATATATATATATATATATATATATATATATATATATTTAAATCTTAGATGAGCACAAACTCAATACTTGATCCTTACATTTAATGGATAAAAATTTCATCACTCATAAAATGAAAAATATATCAACCTATCAAATAATATGTGAAAAAAAATAATACTTTAATAAAATATTAATGGATGGATTTACTATTTTTTTTATATAGAGTGGATCATGATAAAATGAGACAAAAATTACGTTTTCCAAAGATTAGATGACAACAAGTTGGTTTATTAGGATATTCCAATATTTATTTTTAATGTTATATTTATTTTAATTCCTTAAATTAAGACGATGGCAAATGATCATTATTACTAGCAATTAGGTTATAAAATTGTATGTTTCTTATATTTTCATTTTCAACGAGGAATCGAATTTTATTTTTATCTTTTCTTATATTTTTAATGGTAATTTCTAGGTTATGGAGTGGTTAAGAATATATTAAAATATAAAAGTAGAATTCTATAACTAAGATATGACATTGACTTCATTAATTATTTATAAACTTCTTAAAGCAAGAAGTGTTCAAAATAACTTTCCTAAAAATGGCAAATTAATTAATAGATTGAAGCTGCCTGAATAAATAATAGACTTTATACCAACTCCTTTGTTTATTTTGACTCCATTGACGTGACATTATTCATTTCTAGCATTGGCTTCATTTGTTTATTTTATTCCGTATTTAGTAATAATATTGTACAATTGATAAAATTATTATTATGAAAATATGAAATTAAAAATTTCAACTTTAGCCAATCGTTATTAGACGTGCACTCACTCGTGTAAAGACAGACAAACAGGTATAGTTGAAATATTATTAATGTGATATTTAAAAGTTTATATTTCTTTTTCAAACATTAATTTAACGTTTTGAAAACAAATATATGCATCAAGAAAATATATTCGGATAATGTTTATGGGTTTACATTCTATATCTTTTTATTGCATTCATATAACTTAAAAAAAAAAGTTAATTTTATTCGCATTAGTTTTTTTTGAATTTTTCAGTATAAGATCAAGTAAATGATGGCCAGTCTTCAAATAATTATTGAAATGGATCAAATGTTAAATATAATTTTGAAAACTGATTTATTATAATCCAAACCAAACTTACATAATTTATTTATAAAAATAGGAAATTACAAAATTACTAAACCAGTTTAATTTCTTGAAAATTTATTTATCAGAATAATCTTTATTGTTTGGGATAGGTGAATCAAAGTTTATAAATAATGGTGTATTTATCGATAAAAATCTAACAAATAAGTACATAATTTAATTAAAATATGTTGAGAGGGATTTTTATACGACCATGCTCAGTATATTTTATATGTCTACGAGAATTCTAAAATAAATAATACTTTAACAATTTATATCTATAGAATAAAATGAGAGTTTTAAAATAAATAATATTTTAACAATTAATCTAATCATGCTATTATAGTATATACGATTCTCAAGTTAATTTACAAATATTAGCAACATATTCCTACTAATATATTCTCTATCTTCTAGTTAAAACTTATTGGAAATTATAAAATCATAAATAAGGAAAAAGAGTAATATATATGCTAACGGCATTGAAAATTCTACAGGTTAGGTTTGAAGCTGTGTAAAAGTTGGAGAAAAAAAAATATGATAAGAGAAACACAGCAGATGTGGTTCTAGATATTCTTCATACCCCAACAAAATCAGCTCACAAATTTAGAATAATGAAGGTCTAAAAATTTAGAGGTGAAGTTTGAGGACAACCAGACCCACAAAACTAGGGTTCACTCACTGATATTCATTATACATGGTTTCTCTTGTCAGAGTCAAATTTTGAAAATTTAAAATGGAGAAATTTGACACATCCAATAATGCCAATATATCAAAGTGAAATTGCACACGTTACTTATTGAACAAAGTCTGACACAAACGTTGGAAAATGAGAGCGCAAATTGTTAACAGATTCGTTTACTTAATAGGAAGACATTGGTGCAATGATTAGGCATCAAAACTGGGTTAAGATCTACGGCACAGTCCTAAAGTATATTTTTCCTTAAAATAATTTATTAAATAATATATATAATAAAAAAGAGTGATCAAAACAAAAATCTCTCAGAAAATCTATAAATAGGAAGGGAAAACCTATCCCTCAAACTACAATAATTAGAGTGTAAAATAAAATAATGAACTTCTAAAATATTGTTCATATATATATGTTTTTTTTTAAGAATTGTAACATTTCATCTTCAAATGATAGTTTATTCTATTGTGCAACTTCAACTTTATGATGATGTGAATAACCTATTTCTTTTGAGTAAAACAAAAGAAAAGATATAACGAGTCAAATGTGGGAAATGGAAATATGCTCTTTAGAAAAAGAAGGTATTGAAAGGAGACTTTGGTTATTCATTCTAAGTTAGTTGTAGTTGTAAACCCATTTAAGTTACATGGGAACCAAAACAGGGTTAGAAAAGTAGAAGTAGACCTGAATTTTCTCCATTTAAATTGTATAAGTTTATTTCATATTAAAATTAATATTTAAAAAAAATAGTAATTTTAATATTCAATACTTAATAAATACATTCATTTGATCATATTAATAACTTTATTGTTGATTATAACTGTTAATTCAAGCTAATATAATAATATTGATGACTAAATTAATATATTTATTAAATAGAAGTTACGAAGAAAAATTATTCAGGATTAAATTAACTGTTGACTTAATTTCCTTTCTATATTTCTTCTAGAACCAAGTCCTAAAAAATAGTCCATTCTTGAACAGGAACGTGTGGAAAAATAAAATAAAAAAGTGCATGCACAAGTCCCATTGTAATGTTTCACGTGACACGATAGAAGTTTGGTATGCCCTACCATATTGTGCCCTATTTAGGGGGATAATTACTCAGAGATTGGGACTGAAAACGTGTTCTATTTGGAAGGTTCAGTTTTGTTTTTTTCTTCATTTCATATTAACATTTTCAGAAATAGTTAATATCTTTATTACGTTTCTATTTTCAGTGAAAAATAATTTCTTAAACCTTACCTTAGCAGCCAGTGACACATCTCCTATGTACATTTCTACCAACTAAAGAAACTTGGTATGCAAACTTTTGCTTTATAAACTTTGAAAACCATAACTTACCTTACGATATATACCCTCTCTCACAGCTCAAAAATAAAGAGTTTTTTGTTTTTCTTTTCTATGAACTTTAAATTTGAATCAAGATAAACAAAAAATAAACTTATATTCTCACAAAAAAAAATCTCTTTTTTTTTTCTTTCATCACATTATCACATCATACTACGTATTATATTTATATTTCTTCTGAAATGTCTACATCTCTATCATCAACATATAAATAGCATGAGGTGCTCATATATTATATTACTTTATTTTATTAGAAAACAAAAATTCATTCTATTAATAAAATAGAATGAATAAATGAGTTGAATGTTCCTTTATTCTTAATGAAAGAGTGATGATTAGCGCTTTGTTCATTAATTTAACTGAACTTTACTAACTAATCCATTTAATACACCCTTGATTTTTCTCATTGCAACTTACGAAATAAAATTCAAACCACCAACAAGGAACCATGAATAAGGACACAGCATTTTCCTTTTTTACAGACAAACATGTATTTGTTAGCCAAGATAATCTTATTCAACCTATAAAAAATTATGGTGTGCTATGAAACTTTCATTTTCAAACATTTAACCTAGTTATATAATCAAAACTTAATCTCAAATCTTATATCAGTTCATTAAATTTATTTTAACCATATTTTTAATGAGATATCTATTAATTATAAACCTGATTTATAATTTTAGAGGAATCTCATTTTTTTATTTTTTTTGTTGATATACTTAAAACCTTCTTAAGAAAAGACCAAATACAGTAACATGAGTTATGTGACAAATTTAACACAGCGTATTCAATGACTCACTCTATAAATAGAAGCACCTGATCTGTGAGTTTTTGCAACAACAACAACACTCTCACAAGAACATCAGAAAGAAGAAATGAATTCCCTTGGTCTCACCACATTATGCTGTGTTCTGGTTGTGGTTGGAACACTAGAGTGCTTCTCATATGCACAACTAGATCCATCGTTTTACGACAGCACATGTTCAAATATGCATTCAATTGTACGGGATGTGCTCTCAAATGTTTCCCAATCTGATCCCCGAATGCTTGCGAGTCTCATCAGACTCCACTTTCATGACTGTTTTGTTCAAGTAACTACATATATTCTTCTTCATCTCTTAACTCAAATTGTCACATCCCAACTGTTCCTTGTTTCGGTTTTATGTTAATTCTTTCCTACTTCTAGAAACATTGATCTGTAGAAGTCTTAATATGAAAAATGCATCTAAACAAGACTGTTCATCCTACAGTTGGTAGAGTGGTAATACATAGGTAGGGCAAAGTGTCGGCAGGTTGAATCAGATGAAAAGAGAAAAATATGAGAATACATCTTCAAACTATTTATGCTTTTCTTTTTTCATTTATTTTGGAAACAATTTTCGAAATTTAATAGATGTTGGAAGAAGAATTAATTGCTGAATAATGTACAAGAAAACACAAATTGAAATGTCAAGGCTTCTTATTGGCACTGATAGAATGAAGTGAATTACATGTTTATATGACCAACAGGGGTGTGATGCATCAATTCTTTTGAACGACACTGATACGATCGTGAGTGAGCAAAGTGCAGCGCCAAATGACAACTCAATAAGAGGTTTGGATGTTGTGAATCAGATCAAGACAGAGGTGGAAAATGCTTGTCCTGGCATAGTTTCATGTGCTGATATTCTTGCTCTCGCAGCTGAAATATCTTCTGAGCTGGTATCTGCATAATCATTTCAAAATTTTCACCTCGTTTTACATTTATCACGTTATGTGTATAATTCCAAAAACTGAGCTTATTTTTAATTTCATCGTAATCTAGTTTATAGAAATTGATAGAATTATTTATGTTTAGAAAGAGACTACTTTGTAAATATATGTCTCATGAAAATGAGAAAAACTAAGTTTGTTTAAACAAGTAATAATTAAGTTATAATTTAAAATATTTTTTCACCTTCTTCTATTTTCTGGTCCTACTTCAAGGATGTGTAAGGTGTAGGAGTAGGGTTGCATGAAGGCGTGTTCGGTCTTGATGTATTTTTTTTTTTTTCTGAAGTTATAATAAAATAAGAATTAAAATACTTAAAAAAAATTGTAATCCTTCTTCTGTTGTAGGTGAACCTAAATCCAAAGGATTACACAATGACTATTTTTACATGTATAGTAATATTGTTGATAAAAAATATTATTTGCTCGAATTCACTTAATTACATACACTTTTGCTAATTAAGAAAGCTTTAATGTGAAAGAAAAATTAACAAATAAAAAAGTATAGGAATTTTCTCTTTCTGTTGTACTTTTAAAATTTATGTGAAGTAATTGTGTTAAAAATACTATAAAATTGATTAGTATAGCTTCATTTTATTTTTATTTAAGTCATTTTAGGCCGATTGGTGGTCTCAATATGCTCTTATATTGGATAATTATACAACAAGAACAAAGAGAATAAGCATGGGGAATTATGAAGGATATAACTAAATTTCTTCTTAGAATTTAATCTTAATTAAATGAAAACATAAGTTTCTAAACCATTTTTGTTGACGTTTTAATATTTTGCAGGCTAATGGTCCTGTTTGGGAAGTTCTATTGGGAAGAAGGGATAGTTTGACAGCAAATCAAACCCTTGCTAATCAAAACCTTCCGGGTCCTAATTTTACACTTGATCAACTTATTTCCACATTTGATAATCAGAATCTCAACATTACTGATCTAGTTGCACTTTCAGGTATAGATTTTTGTTCTTAACATTTGATATACAAAAAAAAAGAAAAAAGTTTCATATGTGGTTTACGCCATAGTGTGAAAATATTAAAATTCTAATTAGGTGAACTCATTCATGAAAACATATAATTGGAAAAAACAAAATTTCCCCTAAAATTAAGTTATATATAACTTGATTTGTTGAAACTCTGTCATTTAGTCTTTCCTAAATTAGATTATTAATTTATGCATAATTTTAACTTTATGAAAAAGTTTGTTATTTCTTTCTTGTATTTACAAGAGCTTAGGAAAAAGTTTATTGAAACAAACTTTTAATACATTTGTTATGTTTTAAGCTGTTTTTCTTTTCTTTTCTTAGTGATTGAAAAAAAAAAGGTACAAACAGTATTAGGTAAGAAAAAAGAACGTCCCAAACAAGCAAAGTCTAGAATTGACACATCCCAACTAGAGATAATGAACAACCTCAGTGGCTTTCCCACTAATCCATAACAAAGACAAATAACTATTCTGGTTTGTGATCTCTATAATCACACACAATATATTTTTAGATCTTTGAAACATTAATGAGCAACGACTTTGCACCTTTTTCATCTCATTCATCACTGAAAGAAGAGAAGTCCAAACCCATAGAACTGTGATCCCACAATGCACCACTTGCACTAATAATGTTAGATCAATATAACAAGAGTTGTCTTTTATATGGGTATGTCCATGCTGCTACTAACAAGGGTCCCAAGACAGAAACAATTATACAATATTTATGAGTATGACATATAAATTAGCATATTTGACCCTTCTGTTTCTCATTACAAAACAAAAGTTGAAAAATATAAAGTCCTTTAATAGATTTGGTACTAATTACTTCTTGAAAATATTTCACTTTTAGGTGCTCATACAATTGGTAGGGCTCAATGCAGATTTTTTGATAATCGATTGTATAATTTTAGCAACAGTGGGAACCCAGATCCTACTCTAAACACAACTCTCTTAGAATCACTGCAAGCAATATGTCCCAATGGTGGACCTGGAACAAATCTCACCAATTTGGACTTAACTACTCCTGACACATTCGACTCCAACTACTATTCCAATCTTCAACTGCAAAATGGCTTGCTTCGGACAGACCAAGAGTTGTTCAGCACAACTGATGCAGATACTATTCCTATTGTCAATAGCTACATCAGTAACCAAACTCTTTTCTTTGAAAATTTCAAGGCATCAATGATAAAAATGGGCAACATTGGAGTGTTAACAGGATCACAGGGTGAAATTCGAACACAATGTAATTTGGTGAATGGAAATTCTGCTACACTTGCTACATTTACCAGCAAAGAATCATCACAAGATGGAATGGTTGGCTCAATTTAAATAATGGAGAAAGGTTGTGCTGGAAAATGTAGAGATTGAAGGTACTAATAAAGACTTTCATATATGCAGATATATGTCATGTGATTGTGGTGAACCATTGTCTGTGTATTATACACCTAGCTCTATATTGTACGGTGTAATGTGAACAAACTACTACCTTTAGTCTTTTGTATACGAAATAAATGGCACTGTTATTTTATCTTAATTAGGAGAAATATAAATAGCGTTATTAATTAATAAGCCCTAAACCCTAAAATTATAAATAGTGTCATTAACAAGTGTTGGTCAAAGAAAGTATGTAACTTTCTCACTTGCACCGAAAGAATGGAAGAAAAGGGTGGGTACAAATTTTTTTATTCAAGCATGAGGTGCCCACGAGGCATTTTTTTATTGTAATGCACAGTACCAATTTTTGCTATAAATTGGTCTTCTTCCTTCAAGCAAAATCATCCCATCCCACACAAAATACTACTTCTCTTAGAGAAGAAAGAGTGGCACCAGTGAGAGGCAGAAAAACTAGAGAGTTTTAGTTTAGCTTCTGGGTGTAATTGGGTTGTGAGTTGTGAGTGTTTTGGGAGTGTTTTGTAAACACTTGTGTATTTTTCTTTTCTCCTAGTAAGAGATCTGTAGTAGTCCGGAGACGTAGGCATTATTGGCCGAACTCCGTTATCAACTTGTGTGTGCAATTATTCCGCTTTTATTTCACTTTCACAGATCTGACCATATGGGAAGATTCCACATATTTTTTCCCAACAACTGGTATCAGAGCTGGTTGTTAGTTCTGTAATTTTTGTGGTATTACTATTCATATGAATAGTAAATTACTATTCCGTGAATAGTGAAAACGTGAATAGTGCAAATTTTGTCGGCGCTACAAATTTGCCCGCAGTCGTGTTCTGAAACACGGTAGCTCACAGAAATTGTCAGAAACGATCCAGCAGATAAGTCAGATCAGAGTTGGAGTGATGGCTGCAGACGAAGGAAAAATGAAAATTGAAAGGTTCGACGGTACAGACTTTGGCTTCTGGAAGATGCAGATAGAGGATTATCTGTATCAGAAGAAGATGCATCAACCACTCACAGGGGAGAAGCCAGAAACCATGAAAGAGGAAGAATGGAGACTCCTTGATAGACAGGCTCTTGGAGTTATTCGTCTAACATTATCCCGTAATGTTGCTTTCAACATTGTGAAAGAAAAGACGACCTCAGATCTCATGAAGGCTCTTTCCAACATGTACGAGAAACCATCAGCCTCAAACAAAGTTCACTTGATGAGGCGATTGTTCAACCTGCGGATGTCTGAAGGTGCTTCGGTGGCAAATCATCTCAATGAACTCAACACTGTAACAACCCAGTTGAGTTCTATTGACATCAAATTCGATGATGAAGTACAGGCTTTAATACTTTTGTCTTCCCTACCAGAGAGTTGGAATGCTACGGTCACAGCTGTGAGTAGCTCATCGGGAAACAATAAGTTAAGATTTAATGATGTTCAAAATTTGGTTCTCAGCGAAGAGATCCGGCGGAGAGAGTCGGGTGAAGCATCAACCTCTTCAGTATTGCATACAGAGTCAAGAGGAAGAAGTTCAACCAAAGAAATTGGACATGGAAAATCAAAGGACAGGCGGTCCAAGTCCAGAAATCATCGTAGTTCCCACAACTCAAAAACGATCGAGTGTTGGAATTGTGGGAAGACCGGACACTTCAGAAACCAGTGCAAGAGTGCACGGAAGAATCAAGGAGCAAAGGACGAAGCAAACGTTGCCTCCACCTCAGGAAAAGATGAGGCGTTGATATGCTCTCTTGAAGGCAGGGAGGAGTCTTGGGTGTTAGACTCCGGAGCTTCTTTTCATGCTACCTCACAGAAGGAACTGTTGGAGAATTATGTTCCCGGAAACCTTGGTAAGGTTTACCTTGGTAATGAACAGTCATGTGAGATTGTAGGCAAAGGTGCAGTAAGGATTAAGCTGAATGGGTCTGTATGGGAATTGAAAAATGTCAGACATATTCCCGACCTGACAAAGAGCTTAATCTCAGTAGGTCAGTTAGCTAGTGAAGGCTATACGACAATCTTCCACGGTGATGAATGGAAGATCTCAAAAGGTGCGATGACGATTGCTCGAGGCAAAAAGAGTGGAACTCTCTACAAGACTGCAGGAGCATGTCATTTGATTGCAGTTGCAGCAAATGAAAATTCCAACATATGGCACCAAAGACTTGGACATATGAGTGAGAAAGGAATGAAGGTCATGCACTCGAGAGGAAAATTACCAGGTCTTCAGTCAGTAGATATTGACATGTGTGAAGACTGCATACTTGGAAAGCAGAAGAGAGTCAGCTTTCAAACAAGTAAAAGAACCCCAAAGAAAGAGAAGCTTGAGCTCATCCACTCTGATGTTTGGGGTCCAACGACTGTCCCATCCGTTGGTGGGAAGCATTACTTCGTGACTTTCATTGATGATCACTCCAGAAAGGTATGGGTTTACTTTCTGAAATATAAGTCAGAAGTATTTGAAGCTTTCAAGATTTGGAAAGCTATGGTGGAAAATGAGACAGGATTGAAGATTAAGAAGCTCAGATCCGACAATGGTGGTGAATATGTAGACACCAAATTCAAGAAGTTTTGCTATGAGCACGGAATCAGAATGGAGAGAACCGTGCCGGGTACGCCTCAACACAATGGTGTAGCTGAGCGTATGAATCGAACGTTGACTGAAAGGGCCAGAAGCATGCGTGTGCAGTCAGGCTTACCAAAGCAGTTTTGGGCAGAAGCAGTCAACACAGCAGCTTACTTGATCAACCGAAGTCCATCGGTACCATTGGAGCACAAGATACCAGAAGAGGTATGGAGCGGAAAAGAGGTAAAACTCTCACATCTTAGAGTTTTTGGCTGTGTAGCATATGCGCATATCAGTGATCAAGGCAGAAACAAACTTGATCCAAAATCAAAGAAATGTACTTTCCTTGGTTATGGTGAAGATGAGTTTGGCTACCGCATATGGGACGATGAAAACAAAAAGATGATCCGCAGCAGAGACGTAATCTTCAATGAAAGAGTGATGTACAAGGACAAGCATAATACAGGTGCCAGCAACTCAGAAGCGAGTGGGCCAGTTTATGCAGAGGTGGAAGATATCCCAGAAAGTCCTATAATGAGGAGTCCTCAGCCAGAGGAATCAGTTGAAGAACTTGATGTGCAAGCAGAACCTCCTACTCCAACTCCTGTATTGAGAAGGTCTTCTCGGCCTCATGTGCCTAACAGGAGATACATAGACTACATGTTGTTGACTGATGGAGGGGAGCCTGAAGATTATACGGAAGCTTGTCAAGCCACGGATGCTAGCAAGTGGGAGCTTGCCATGAAAGACGAGATGAAGTCTTTGATCTCAAATCAGACATGGGAACTAGTCAAGTTACCTATGGGAAAGAAAGCACTTCACAACAAATGGGTGTATCGAGTGAAGGAAGACCATGATGGTTTTAAGAGATACAAAGCTCGACTGGTCGTCAAAGGATTTCAGCAGAAAGAAGGAGTCGACTACACTGAAATCTTTGCTCCAGTTGTAAAGCTCAATACTATCAGGACTGTGTTAAGTATTGTGGCTAGTGAGGAGCTCTACCTAGAGCAATTAGATGTGAAGACCGCATTTCTTCATGGAGATTTAGATGAGGAGATCTACATGCACCAGCCTGAAGGTTTTTCAGAAGGAAAGAAGAACTTGGTGTGCAGATTGAAAAAGAGCTTGTATGGCCTGAAACAAGCTCCAAGACAGTGGTATAAGAAGTTCGAAAGCTTCATGCACAAGGAGAGTTTCCAGAAGTGCAACGCTGATCACTGTTGTTTCTTCAAAAGGTATAAGTCCAGTTATATCATTTTGCTACTTTATGTTGATGATATGCTAGTAGCAGGTTCAGATATGAATGAGATCATAAACTTAAAGAAGCAGTTGTCAAAAGAATTTGACATGAAGGACTTAGGCCCAGCAAAGAAGATTCTTGGAATGCAAATCACGAGAGATAAGCAAAAGGAGTTTTGCGGTTATCTCAAGCGGAGTACATCAACCGTGTTTTGCGAGAGATTCAACATGGACAATGCCAAACCAGTCAATACACCTTTGGCTTGCCATTTTCGTCTATCCAAGGATCAGTCTCCTCAAACGAAGGAAGAAGAAGAGTTAATGGCTAAGATTCCGTATGCTTCAGCCATTGGAAGTTTGATGTACGCGATGGTTCGTACGAGACCGGACATTGGCCATGCGATGGGAGTTGTAAGCGGATTCATGTCAAATCCAGGAAAAGCTCATTGGGAAGCAGTCAAATGGATTCTGAGGTATCTACGAGGCACAACGGAAAAATGTCCGTATTTTAGAAAAGGAGATCTAAAATTGCAGGGCTACGTAGATGCAGACTTTGAAGGTGAAGTTGATCACCGAAGAAGCACCACTTGGGTATGTGTTTACTGTTGGAACTACAGCTGTTAGTTGGATGTCGCGGATACGGAAGATTGTTGCTTTATCCACTACAGAGGCTGAGTATGTAGCAGTGACAGAAGCCAGTAAAGAATTGATATGGCTTCAAGGATTGTTGGCAGAGTTGGGATTCATTCAAGAAAGGAGTGTTTTGCACAGTGATAGTCAGAGTGCAATACATCTGGCAAAAAATTCAGCATTTCACTCCAGAACCAAACACATCGACATACGTTATCATTTCATCAGATCTCTACTTGAGGATGAGATGCTAACATTGAAGAAAATTGTGGGAAGTAAGAACCCAGCAGATATGCTAACAAAGGTGGTGACTATTGACAAACTGAAGTTATGCTCAACTTCAGTTAGCTTACAAGGATAACAGACAAGAGAAGACTACTATTGATCAAGGTGTGAGGACAGATTGAAATCGGTCCTCAAGTGGGAGATTGTTGGTCAAAGAAAGTAGGTAACTTTCTCACTTGCACCGAAAGAATGGAAGAAAAGGGTGGGTGCAAATTTTTTTATTCAAGC